AAAAGCAAAACAGATCTTGACATGCTACCCTTCGACATTCACAGTTTTGGCGTGGGAAGGATAATTTCTTTGTCTGTTTTGACATCTCACTTGTACAAATTACTTGGCCCACAAGACTTTTTGTTCTCTCTTCTTTTAAAAGAAAATGCTTACCTTATTTGGAACTTAGTAGAAATGCTGTACATATTATTGTCTAGTGCTAAAAAGAAAAATCAAACCATCAAACAAACCTGGATTGAAATTTAACTTCTTTGGCTACCATTAACAGATTTTCTAATCCATTCAACAAACACTTACCTTCTGTAGAAGCAGCATTTGTTAAATCCTGTGGGAGAATTAAAAGGAGCAGAAGAAATGAAACGTCCAAACTAGTTGTGAGTAAGTACATTAACTAAAATACAAGTAAGAATAGAGATGCTATAGCATAAATGGATTCTGGAACCATACTGCTTAGGTCAGAAATTGGATTAAGCCTTTGGAAAACTACTGTATCTCTCTGTGCTTCAGTTCTTTTATCTCTAAAATGAGTATAATAATAGCATCTTCCTCACAGAATTGTTATGAGGGATTAAATGAATGCAAACCTAAACGCCCTTAACAGTACCCGACACATAATTAGAACTCATTAGGCAATAATCAAAAGTCATTGTTCTGAAAGACAAAAAAATCAGAGAGAAATGTAAATGGACTTTGAGCATGAACCCATAAAGGATGGATAGGATCTGGAAGAGTAGGAAATAGCAAGGTCATGATGAAAAAATAGAGTAGTAAAAAAGTAGATGATTCATGTGGCTTTGTTATATAATAACAATAGTTTAGGAAAGACGGCTGAAGAGCAGAGTTTTAGGCTGTGACCATTAGACAAAGGAGCCTGCAGTGGGACCCGGTGGGCAGGGGTCTACTCAAGAGAGAAGGGTTATGACTAAAGGAGATTCACCTGCAGTTCTGTAAGCCACATAGAGGGCGGGGGAAGGTCTGGATTTCTCATAAACACCCTTGAGAAAGTTGATTTTCCCATAGAGTGGTTTTGCTCACTACAAAGTAGGGCTTAGACTAACAACCTCATGCCTACGAATAAGTAAGAAAGCACGAGGCTGGAATCCTAGTGGGCTCTCCATGGTCTGGAGATGAGATGAATGAGTAGACAAAGGAATGAGAAAGAAATGAGACCTGATCCTGACTTGGAAACAGGTTTGGCTCGGTTCCTATTCCTGTTTTAGATTTTGAGTGAAAACTTGCCAGTGAACCCTCAAAACAGGCAACCTTTGAAAACCGCAGCTGTGTAGGCTAGTTGTGGTGACACACTACCCATTCTCCCTTTCTTGGTCAGCTTCATTCAGGGCAGCAGTGCACCCAATGAGGGCACTCTGTTCCCTGGCTTCTCCTACAGAGTTAAGGGTCCTGCTTCGTACCCCACCGCCACTCCTGCACCCACGACTTCTATAGAGTTTGGACCTATAAATCATTTACTTCTCTTTTAGCCTAAAAGTTTGAGTTCCATTTCTATAAGTGAATTCCAAAATAAGGTAATGTATTGGCTTATTAGGTATACAACACAGAATAGCAAGATATAAAACAAAAAATTCCTTTTCTCAAATTATAAGATTATTCGCCACATCTAACAAAGCTGCTAAATAAACAGTGCAGAGAGAACAGAGAACAAATTCAAGAGAGGTACTTCCACATATAATCCATATCCTTGTGGTCAGCGTTTCGGTATAAATTTAGCTTCTGAAATGTGAAATTCAAATACTTTTTTATGACCGGAAAAAAGGGGCAGCAGTACTTAAAAGAGTTCTAAAGCACTGAGAAATTTAGACATTTGCCCTAGGTCAGTGGTTCCTAAACTCAAACAATGGTTGCCTCAGAATCATGGGAGACGGGGCTTAAAATACCCATTACTCAGCTAAACCCCTGGAGATTCTCACTCAGCAGGTGTGGTTCTGCCACTGCATTCCAGCTCACAAAACTACTCTCAGGCCACAATAGGCTTGAGTAGCTGATGGGTGAAGAAAACGAGTATTTCTACTTGCTTTTCCCCTTAGGGAGACCTCATCTTTATTTACAACTGACAGGATGGACTACAGTTATGTCAGAACTGTAAGTGGAGAGTTTAAATGCCTTGCTTCTACCTACAAAATGCCTTTTATACATGTAGAAATTATGAACAATATGAACAGTTTTTTCACATTTTAATAAGATACTTTGTATCTTTTCTTTAGAGTGAGCTAAGGATGCTTTCAGTAACAATGTTACTTTAAATGGTCCAGTTAAGGAGTGGCTCAAACAATGAAGTATTTAAGATTAGTACCTCAAGAGAGGAGAGGCTGTGCCATCTCTGGGTCGACTAATTCAGAGGCTGGGAAATCCCTTGGGAGGGGGCTCCTTCCTCTCTCTCTCCCTCTCCCTCTCTCCCTCTCTCTCTCTCTCTCTCCTGGTCCCATACTGACAGCAAAGCTTCAAAGCATCATGTTCTTAAAAGTAATGAAGGGAACAAATTCCTGTCTCATGTCCTACTCACCATCCAGCTTTGTTTTTAAAGAAAATGACGAAAACTTTCACAGAAGTTCTTTAGCTTAAACCAATCAATGGTGTAGGGAGTAAGACTAACTCCCTAAGAATAATTATTATCTATACCCCGGGGGTTAGGAAGCTCCCTCTCCCAAGGCACATGGAAGAAGAAAACCACTAGACAAAATCTGGACTCTTGAATAGGAAGAAAGTTTATAGAGGAAGTTTCTTCTGGAGAGACTTTCCTTAGGCATCAATAGTGGGTCACAACCCTCTGACACATTAATAAAGCATATTTAAACTCATCAAAGGTAATTTAGCATGAAGAAACCAGTTCAGTGCATTAAGTGACTGGGAAACATTAACAAGCAACAAAAGGAAAATGAAGTTGCCAACACTTCAAATCCTGTGCAGCAGAAAAGGGAACAAAAGATGTACCCAGCTGGAAACTGGGAGGGTATAACCCACTTGCTCAGGCAGTAAGATTTTGTTGATCAAATAGAATACACCTTAAAAATTATTACTCACGACCTATGTTCTCCCACCCTAAATAATCTATGTATCCCTTCCTCTGATTCCTAAATCAGCTAAATATTTCCAAGTGTTAATTATATACAAAATATAAAATTCAGTTCTTAAACACTGTTCTTAAAAATTCTGCCTGAGGTTCCATGTGGGAGAGAGAAATAAAACAGCAGGGAGCATTTTTCCCTACAATCCAGTGGTTATGGGAAGGGGGCACTCAGCAGCATTTTAGATGCAGAAGTCAAAAATCTGGCTAGCACTTCCTAACTGCAAAGCTATCTGGAGACCATCATATATTTGCTGTAACATAATAATTGAAGGAAATATTAAAGAAAAAAACTTCCCTCACATCTATTGTTTCCCTTGCCCCAGTAAAGCAATACATGTTTATTTAGTAACATCTTTTGGATTATGTGAGTTAATTCACTGAGCAAAACTTTAGGCCAAAGCAAGCCAGCAGCTACCTCCCCAATCATGGTGCTGAATGAAGTGAATGCCATTGGTGGGGTAAGCGGAGGCTCCACCCCCTACAACTTCACACTTCACCCAACTGTATGTGTTTATTTACAGTATCTGCCCAGCTCTCACAGGCATCTGAGTTTAACATACCAGAATTAAAGAGTAACTAAAAGAAAACCTGATGTGCTTCTATTTCAAAAATCATTTACACGTATTTCTGGGTAGGGCACAAGTACATTTCCTCTGCCACTGATTTTCTATGTCCCTTATTTTTTGTTATTTTAATTTGTCGCTTTTTTGTTATAGGCCATTTCAAATTCTTCATGGGAAGAGGCTGGTTAGGAATGAATGCAAGTTTCTAGGACCTGAACTATTTGTTCACTCATTCACTATTTCAGCCAACAATTACTGAGTTATGTAGGGAGTGGTGTGTGTTAAGGTATGTGCATGTCTACATGTACTCTGTAATTCCTAAAGCTGAAAATTAACAAATCATTTCATCAGGCACTCTAAAAAGACATTTCTAGCAAGATTTTTTATAAAGTATAAGAATATTTGATGTATAGAACAGAAAAATTGCAGGGACTAATTAGAAATGCCTAAAACCAATTCACCTGCAACTTCAAAGAATTTAAAAAAAAATGTAGCTTTGTCTGAGCATGTTTCTTTTTTACATGCTATCATCTCCAAGACAGCTGGACAGTTAAAAAGAAAAACTTTTTTACTAAAGTCTATAGTTTATTCAGATTCCCACAGTTTTTATCTGATGTCCTTTTCCTGTTTCAGGATCCCACCCAGGATACCACATATATTTGGTAGGCTCCTTGGGGCTGTGACAGTTTCTCAGAGTTCTTACCTTTCTAGAATAACGTGTTTATGTGTAGTGTCTTTTGTCTTTAGTTTTAGACTCCACTCATTTCCAAAGCTATTTAGGTCAGCACCTTTTTGCCCGATCCCCTCTAGTAAAGTTGTGCCATTAATTTATAACAGATTCTTTGGTTAGTCTTTCTATCTGGCATCCATTGACCTCCTAAATAATTCTTAAAATCTGCATATAGTCTGGTCTCTCTTGAGCCATGAACTTCAATGGGTTTTGGCAAATGCATAGTGTCATGTAATTCAATTAGGGTATCACACAATAGTTTCAACACCCTAAAATCCCCTGTGCCTCACCTTTTCCAAGCCCTTGATCTTTTTTACTATTCGTACAGTTTTGCCTTTTGCAGAATGTCTATGGGAACCATACAGTAGGTAGACTCTTTAGACTGGCTTCTTTCAGCAACATAAACGTAAGATCCATCCATGTCTTTTTGTGGCTTGACCACTTATTTTTACTGTTGAATAACATTCGATTATATGGATGTACCACAGTTTATTTATCCATTCAGGATAAATGACAGGATGTCATCTTGGCTGCTTCCAATTTTGGCAGTTAGGAATAAAGCTGCTATAAGCAATCCTGTGCAGGTTTTTGTGTTGACATTAAGTTTTTAAATCATTTGGGAAGATACCAAGGAGAACGATTGCAGGTTCCTATGTTGAGGCTGTTTTAGCATTATAAGAGACCGCAGAACTATCTTCCAATTTTGCATTCCCACCAGCAGTGAATGACAATTCCTGTTGCTCCACAACACTGCTAGCAAATAATATTGTCAGTTTTTTGGGTTTTAGAAATTGTAATAGGTTATGTCGTGTTACCTCATTATTAATTTAATTTGCAATTCCCCAATGACAAATGTGTTTAACATGTTTTCATATGCTTATCTGTCATGTGTATTTTTTATAACGTGTCTGTTCAGATCTTTTGCTCCTATTTTAAACTGGGTTGCTTGTTTTACTGCTGGGTAAAGACATTTTAATGAAGGCATTGTTTCTTTGGTTCATATTTACATAATTTACTAGAGAATAGATTATAAATCAATCTCATCATTTCATGTACATCAGCAAGTAACCAATAACAAACTACTTGAATCTTTGGTTTTCTTTCTTTCTAAAGCAGCAAACTGAATCGACTCAAATGTCACAATCTCATAAGGAGAAATGATTAAAGAGATTAAGGTACAGTCTCAGAAACAATGTACTATAGAGTTTTTAACATGTTCATTATAAATTCTGGCCACATTTTAGTTTTATAATAAACATCTAGAGTTGCACTGTTTAAAATAGGACCCATGTAAATCACACAGCCTGTCTGTTATCAGGACTTTGGCAAACATCTATGCTTCACTTTCATACTCAGACAAGCTCAATGATGCAGATTGAAGTTACCTGATAACTCGCCTCAAGTGGTACTGGGTGTTTTGTTGGCCGATGTGGCTGATAACAATGTAAGATCTTGTATCTGACATCTTTCCCTGAATGGTATCAGGAACTCAAGCTCTACACTACATGGAAGACAATCTTTCCCTCTGAAAAAATCTACAGGAAAAATATCCAATGACAGCCCAAAACTAAAAAAAACAATTTAACTGTATTGGAAAATGTTCCAATAGTATGTTTTTAAACTAAGAATAGGTAACCTATAAAGCATTCATTATATAGTAAATTAGTCTTTCCTTCTCAATTACGATTGCCAATTCATGGTAGGAAATACAAAAAGAGAGAAGCAGAAGTAATCTGGAGCAGCACATGTTCAAATTCACCAATCTTTTATAGTTGCTTTTGAAAACAAAACACACACTAGCCCCTCCCACATCAACAATCAAACAACAAGAAAAAACAAGAACTAAAAATAAATACAGCTTTACTGGATTAAAAGAAGAACTGTAATAGTTTCCTTGAATTTCACGTTTGGGTATATATTTATATTTTAAAGTATTTTATAGAATATTTCATGACACATACCAGTTTCTTTTAAAATGAGTAATATTTATTCATTCTTTAAAAATACAGACATATACAAAAATATAGAGGAAAATAAGCTAATGATCCCAATACCCAAGATAACCTGTTGACATAAAAAAATAACTGTATATAATACATACATATCATTTGATGCTTCAAAAGCTCATTCAGACAGAGAGCAAAAAGGGAACCCTACCTGTCTAGTCCAAGTAACCTTTGTTGTCAGCTGCTTGAGACAGAAAAATTATTAAAATCCCTTCCTCCTTTTAATAGAACAAAATCAGTCATACAACCTTAGACATACTTTTTACAGAGAAAAAATGTTTCATGGAGAAATGTTCCTGTCTATCAACATTTTTAGGTATTACTGCTAAGATTATGAATTTTTAATGACAGAGGAGTATGTTGTTATACCCTGTTTCTTGTTGGGTCTCATGAAATTAAGTTCCCTTAAACATAATAGAGTGCAAACTTGTAATGATGAGTAAATAAGTCACAGAGATCTAATGTACATTATAATGAACACAGACAATAATATTATATATTATGTAATGACAAATACTGCTACACCAGGAATCATATCACAGTATATAAATGTAGCAAAGTAACACTTGTATACCTTAAATTTGCGCCATGCTACATGTCCAGTCGATTCAATAAAACAAAAAAGGAAAAAAGAAATCAAGGTCCCTTTCATAAATGAGAATAAAACATACTTACCTTGGTGTGTAGCACTCAAATCCTCATCCAGTACTTATCTT